AAGACACGTAGAAGGGAAATAATAAAATAATAAAAATAAAACATAATACAATAATTCTCACGACGTTTCGGCCACAACGCAAGCAGCCTCCACTCTGTTCCTCCTCAAAGACACCCCCCCAGTGTGAGAACGAATTTTGCTTTAAATTCCTTGCCGTGTACGGGAGCGGAACCCTTAATCTCCGGGAATCACCGTGTGATCATGTTCGGGGATCGTAACCCGGACCAGCCTTCTCCTAACTTCAAATCGCTTTTCACGCCTCAGATTCCCTCCTCGTCGCGTCGCGTGAGACCCCCCCAGATGGATCCGCGGGTGCTCTGGACACTTTGAGCATCGCGACAGTTGCTGTCACTTTGTGCGATCTTAGGCGCTGCGGTGGTGCTGGCACCACGACACTGCGTGGACGTGGTGGTGGTGGTGGGTGGTGGTGGTGGTGGTGGTGGCGGTGGTGGTGGTGGTGGCGGTGGTGGTGGTGGCGGTGGTGGTGGCAGTGGCGGTGGTGGTGGCAGTGGCGGTGGTGGTGGTGGCGGTGGTGACGGTGGCGGTGGCGGTGGTGGTGGTGGCGGTGGTGGTGGTGGCGGTGGTGGTGGTGGTGGTGGCAGTGGCGGTGGTGGTGGTGGTGGCGGTGGCGGTGGTGGGGGGTTCTACCAGCCAGGCTCACTGCGTTATGTTTGCGCTGTACCGTAGTGGTGATGATGATGGTGATGATGATGATGATAATGATGATGGTGACGATGGTGATAATGATGATGGTGTTGTTGATGATGGTGATGATGATGATAATGATGATGGTGATGATGGTGATGATGATGGTGATAATGATGGTGATAATGATGATTATGGCGATGATGATGATGGTGATAATGATGATGGTGATGATGATGATGGTGATGATGCAGTGATTTCGTATACATTAACTAGACGTTTGGTTGTTGTTGTATATCATAGTTTGCATCCACTGTATGTTGAACTTATTTCGCACCGTAACGTAGCCATATATACATGCAATACTACACCTCCAATTAGCACGGTTGGCTACGTACGGCGTGAAAGAAGTTCAACTTCTAGATTTGAAGCTTTCGTGACTGCAAGGATTCATACTCCTAGGTTTTTTCGGGAAAGTCACGTAGGTAAAAAATAAAATAAAAATTAATATAACTAAAATAAAAAATCACAACGTTTTGGAGGCAACACAAGCTTCCGTCTTCAGGTGGAACCATCACAGCCCGCTTGCTGTATCAAGTTAAGAGAAATTCCAAGAGACCCGACCTTGTATATATACTGGTTGAGGGGGGAGGATCCAGGGTAGGCCCTGGATCGGAGTTTTTTATTATGGTAAGGTTGGTGCGGCTGAGGTTGCTGCTACTTTACCGAAAAAACCTAAGAGTATAAGTTCAACTTCCATACAATACTGCATCTCCGATTAGCACGGATGGCTACGTACGGCGTGAAAGAAGTTAAACATACGTCTCCCACCTCATATCAACACATTTAGAAAGGGGTACCCTCAGTGGCAGCTGTCTCTGCGCGGCACAATGCGACTTTAGCAAATGGCCTGCTAATTTAAATTTCGTGTCTCTCTCCACCCAGTGATGGAGTTTGCGTGTTTCTCTCTCTCTCTCTGTGATCGCGTGGATCGTTCTCCAAGTCATTTTAGAATCACATTTAGATTGGACGTCACTCGTTTAGAGTGTTCGGATGCTATACATTTACACGCCATGATGATGATGATGGTAGTGGGCCTCTTCGTTGAGCCGTCATTTGTGGCCAGGTCGCATCCCGGAAAAGTAGCGACTGCCTAAATGGCTCGGTGGGTGTTAGGGGGCGTCCATAAATGACGTCACGCGATTTTGGACGATTTTTGATCCCCCCCCCCTCGTCACACGGCGTCACAAAAAGCCAGACCCCCCCTCAAATATGACGTCACAAAGCTCTGCCCCCCTCCCCCAAACGGTATTTACATTTTGAGAATAAAACATGCTTCAAATCGCTTTAAACTATTGTCATTGTAGTGCGTATTTAATGTGGCGCTGCACTCTGATGTTGTAGGATAATTTTTTTTATTAAAAAGTCTATTTAGTTAAGTAGAACGTGTTGTCTATATTCATTTAAAGTTGCGCATTTTCAAGTGACGTCACATTTCTCAAACCCCCCCCTCCCCCCCCTCGTCACACATCGTCACAAATGTTTGACCTCCCCCCCCCTAAGTGCGTGACGTCATTTATGGAAAGCTCCTTATCTGGTAGAATAAAAAAATAGTTTAATTTTAATATTCACACGTGGACTCACGTGGACTCGCACGGAGATCCAGTGACGAACACAGAGAGACATCGTTTCTATATTCTTGGTTCTTTCGGTAAAGTCACGTAGAAGGGAAATAATAAAATAATATGAATATAAAACAATACAAATCCCCACGACGTTTCGACTACAAAGAACCAAGAATATGAATCCCTGCAGTCACGAAAGCTTTAAATCAAAATGCAATCGTTTATAGTTTAAATCGTATATTAGCTTGCCAGTAGGTAGTGGGGTAATCGCTGCTGTGTAATCCTAATCGGGTTACCTGCTGGTCACCCATCCGGGCAACGAGAGGCGATGGCTGAGCGCACCCTAAGTTACACTTCCTGCTTGACACCACCACCACTACCCCCACCCACCACCACCACTACCCCCACTCACTAGTCACTACCACTACCCCCACCCACCACCACTACCACTACCCCCACCCACCACCACTACCCTCACCCACCACCACCACTACCCCCACTCACCACCACCACTACCCCACTCACCACCTCTACCCCCACCCACTACCGCCCACGACCACCACTACCCCCACTCACCACCACTACCACTACCCCCACCCACCACTACCCCCACCCACCACCACGACCCCCACCCACCACCCACTACCACCACTACCCCCACCTACCACCACCACTACCCCCACTCACCACCACTACCCCCACTCACCACCTCTACCCCCACCCACTACCCCCCACGACCACCACTACCCCCACTCACCACCACTACCCCCACTCACCACCACCACTACCCCCATTCACCACCACTACCACTACCCCCACTCACCACCTCTACCCCCACCCACCACTACCCCTATTCACCACCACTACCCCCACACACCACCACCACTGCCCCCACCCACTACCGCCCACTACCACCAGTACCCCCACCCACCACCACTACCCCCACTCACCACCACTACCCTCACCCACCACTACCCCCACCCACCACTACCCCCACCCACCACCACTACCCCCACTCACCACCTCTACCCTCACCCACCACTACCCCCACCCACCACTGCCCCCACACACCACCACCACTGCCCCCACCCACTACCGCCCACTACCACCAGTACCCCCACCCACCACCACTACCCCCACTCACCACCACTACTACTACCCCCACCCACCACTACCCCCACCCACCACCACCACTGCCCCCACCCACTACCGCCCACTACCACCACTACCCCCACCACCACCACTACCCCCACCCACCACCACCACTACCCCCACTCACCACTTCTACCCCCACCCACTACGGCCCATGACCACCACTACCCCCACTCACCACTACGACCCCCACCCACTACCACTACCGCCCACTACCACCTTGACCCCCACCCACTACCACCACTACCCCCAGCCACCACCACCACGACATCACCCACCACCACTACCCCCAGCCACCACCACTACCCCCTCCCACCACCACTACCCCCACCCACCACCACTACCCCCACCCACCACCACTACCCCCACCCAACACCACTACCGCCCACCACCGCCACAACCAACCACGCGCGTGTCAGCTCTCTCGCTCTCACCCTGGGCTCCCTCCCCCGTGGGTCTATCCCCGAACTCCCTCCCTCCCCGCTAACGCCTCTTAGTCCCTCCCATCGCTCCCTCCCCCCTCTCCTTCACTTCCCTCCCTTCCTCCCTACATCCCTCGCTCCCTCCGTGCCTCGATCTCGTGTACCCTCTCCCTTCCTCCCCAACCCTTCTGATCTGGCTCACACTCTCTCTCTTGCCATCTCTACCTCACTCAATCCATTCCTACCTCCATTTCTCCCTTCATCCCTTCTGCATCTGCCCCCCCCCTTCCCGCTACGAACTCATCCTCCTGCTCCCTCCTTCCCCATCCCTTCTGCTCTCGCTCACTCTCTCTTTCCATCCCTCCCTCCCTCCATCGATCTCTCCCTCAATCCATCCACCCTTCAATTTGTCCAAATCTCCCATCCTCAATTTATCTCTCCATCCCTTCTGCCCCCCTCCCTCCCCATCCCTTCTGCTCTCGCTCCCTTCCCATCCCTCCCTCCATCCACCCCCTTCCCCCCCCGTTACTTCAACCCTCCCATTCTCCATCCATCCCTCCCTCCATCCCTTTCGGCACCCCCCACCCCCCTTACTCTCTACCCCCCTCCCTCCACCCCCCCCCTTTACTTCAACTCTCCCATTCTCCATCCATCCATCCCTCCCTCCATCCCTTTCTGCACCCCCCACCCCTCCTTACTCTCTACCCCCCTCCCTCCACCCATCCACCCCTCCTCCCGTTACTTCAACTCTACCATTCCTTCATCCATCCCTCCCTCCCTCCATCCCTTTCTGCACCCCCCCCCCCCCTTACTCTCTACCCCCCCACCCCCCGTTACTTCAACTCTCCCATTCTCCATCCATCCCTCCCTCCATCCCTTTCTGCACCCCCCCCCCCCTTACTCTCTACCCCCCCACCCCCCGTTACTTCAACTCTCCCATTCTCCATCCATCCCTCCCTCCATCCCTTTCTGCACCCCCCACCCCCCTTACTCTCTACCCCTCTCCCTCCCTCCCACCGCTACCCCCCACGATGGCGCATGCCGTCCCCCATTGGCCAGGTGCGTGCCGGGCGCGAGCTCTGATTGGCCGCCAGGGTCTGTGCGGCGCTAAGTTATCAGGGGCCGATGTGGAGCGGAGCGCAGTGACTGTGTGTGTGTGGCCGCACGCATCTCGGCCGCCTTTGTCTCTCCCTGCTCGGTTCTTGTCCTCGTAAGCGGCGGCTACATCTGTCTCTCACTCTGTCAATCTCGCTGGCTGGCTGAGCTGAGCTGTCTCCGTCTGAGCTCCGTCGAGGGGTCTAATCAGTGGGCTGTGAGTCTCCTCTGCGTGTGAGTCTCTGCGTGCGCGCGCGTGTGTGTGCGCGCAACGATGCGAGGTGCGACTCAGCCTGACGCATGACACGTGCGCTCCGAGTTGGTGGACGCGAGTTTGCCGTGCCTGCCGGAGCCCTTTGGGTGAGTGTCTGCCTCCGAGCGTGCCCTTCTGTGTGCACGCGCGCGTACGTGTGCGTTCGACTGTCTTAGCGCGTGCGTTGTGTGTGCATGTGCGTACGCGTAAGTGTGTGTGTGAGCCCTTCTGAGTGTGCGTGCGTGAGTGAGTGCCCCATCCGTGTGGCTCTGTAAATACATTTCTGTGTGTCTGTCTGCGTGTGCGTACAGCGATTTGTCTGCGTGTTCGTGTGTCTGTCATAATCGGGTTTGCGGATTAACTTCCGTGTGTGTGGGTGCTAAAATTGTTTAAATCCTACTCCCAAAGCCCAATTCTCCTTACTCTCTCTTTACGCATCCCCTCTCTCTATCAATACGTACATCCCGTCTCTCCCTTCGCTCCCTCCTCAGCTCTCTCTCCGTCTCTCCGTCTCACGATTCTTGCTCCGTCTCGCCTGGGCGCGCGTCTCCGTTGCAATTACGATACCGCTCGCGTGCATATTCTGTACATATATAATGTATAATTAAATATACATTTAGGATTGTTTCAATATATGCACACACGTGTGTGTGTGTGTTTTAGACAAACCCAGGTTATAATTACAGCAACGGATATATACCTTTCGTAGTATTATTCATTGGTAGTATTACTTGTTTAACCAATAATCGTGAGCGGAGATAAGTCCGCCGATTAGTTAAGATTAGATAGGCTGAGATATTATTCTAGAGAGAGAGAGACACACACACAAGACCTCACCACGGATTCGCAACGGCTTGTGGAGGGAGGTGAGGAAGACATATTAGTCGGAAGATTCGAAGACACGGACAGCATCAGGCTTGGAGGAGGTGAGCGTGTGGGTGAGGTTGTGAGCATGTGTGAGTGTGTAGGTAAGCGGCTGGGTTGGTGAGTGTGTGGGTGAGCGTGTGGGGTGAGTTGTGAGCGTGAGTGAGTGTGAAGGTGAGCGGGTGGGTTGGTGAGTGTGTTGGTGAGCGTGTGGGGTGAGGTTGTGAGCATGTGGGTGAGCGTGTGAGTGTGGTTGTGAGCGTGTGTGACTGTGGATAAGTGAGCGGGTGGGTTTCTGAGCGTGTGTGAGTGTGTGGGTGAGCGCGTGTTAAGGCTATACGGGGGTGATTTTGTCTTTGAATGAGCCGGTGGGTTGGTGAGCGGCTGAGTGAACGAGCGAGCGAGCTGGTCGGTGATTGAGTGGGGGTGCAGTAATGTGAGTGAGAGAGTGACCGGGTGGGTGAGTGAGTGAGATGATGAGCGGGTGTGTTTGAGTGAGTGAGTGAGCGGGTGAGCGAGTAAGTGAGCGGGCGAGCGTGCAAGCAAGCCGGTTGATGGATGGGTGAGTGAGCGAGCGTTCAAGAGGGCCGGGTAGGTGAGCGAATGGGCGAGTGAGAGGGTGAGAGCGACAGCGCGAGATGGGTGAGTGAGGAATTGGGTGAGCAGGTGAGTGAGTGGGACTTTCGCGAACCAATTCCGTATCGCTTATCAGGTATGCAAATCGCTCATGAATCTATGTGTCTCGTCTGTGTGTGTGTGTGTCGCATGTGTGTGTGTGTGTGTCTGTGGGGAGCAGTAGTGTAGCGGTTCGATTATTTCAACCAGTCCTGGGCATCCGCTAGGTCGACTCAGCCTTCAAAACTAGTAGCTGGTGCGGTGTGTAAAACATCGCCAGAAAGGAAGGCAAAGGCGGCCGGGCCGGGCGTGGTGCTGGCCAACCACCCGCTCGTGTAGTGTGCGGCATTACATCTGTGCTCGCTGACGGCACTTGCCACAATAGGCTGCTAAAGGCTATAGGGAATCTGCGTCTTGTTGGGTGTCTGTATACAGTATATGTATACGTGTGTGGATGAGCGGTGGCGCAGTGGTTAGCGCACCGCGCAACGATCTCGCGCGACACGAATTCGATTCCCCCTCGGCGACAGCGAATATCCGGACCGGTACCTCGGCTTCTCCTAGGTCGGCTCAGACTTAAATGAGTTGTGTGTCTGGTGCCGTTTGTATAAATCATCAGCTCCTGGGGAGACAAATACAGCCTGGCGCGGTGCGAGTAGCATGCCATTTGCCAGCCTTAATAGGTGCTCGCTAACTGCACTTGCCCCAAGTAGCCCCGTAGACGCTGACACGCGGGGATCTTTGCCTTTGGCTGTGAACTAGTTTGCTGGCGGAACCGCTCGCTGGTGAGTCGCACCTCATCGAGGCGGGGATTCATCGTCACGTGTTCATTGTATGTATCTACAGTGTGTGTGTGTTGAACTTCTTTCACACCGTGCGTAGCCAACCGTGATGACTTCTGTGGGGGGGAGATACATGCTGCTGATGATGATGTTGATGCCACTAAGCGCGCGAATGCTGCTGATGACGATGTTGATGGTACTGCCTTGTCTGATGTTGCTACCGCTGTTGCTGCTGCTGCTGATGATGGAGATGCTGCAGCTGATGATGATGCTTCTTCTGATGCCGCTGCTGCTGATTCTATTGCATTATCCGATAATGATGCTACTACTGTTACTACTGCTGATGCTGTCTCTGCTGCTGATGAAGATGATGGAGATGCAGCAGTTGATGATGATGCTGCAGCTGATGATGATGCTGCTGTTGATGATGCTTCTTCTGATGCTGCTGCTGCTGATGATTCTATTGCATTATCCGATAATGATGCTACTACTGTTACTACTGCTGATGCTACCTCTGCTGCTGCTGCTGCTGATGATGGTGGAGATGCAGCAGCTGATGATGATGCTGCTGCTGATGATGCTTCTTCTGATGCTGCTACTGATGATGATGTACTTGCTGCTATTCGAGGAACTGCTGATAATGGTCCCACTTTATCGGTGCTGCTGATGACGACGCTTCGATTGATGATGATCCTGTTGATGCTGCTGATGATGATGATGCTCCTGTTGATGCTGCTGATGATGATGATGCTCCTGTTGATGCTGCTGCTGATGATGATGATGATGCCACCAATGCACTTGCTGCTGCTGTTGCTGATGATGATGCTGGTTTGTTCACGATAATGCTAAGTGCTGCTGCTGATGATCATTATTATTACCAATCGCTTTCACCTTTCTAGCGAGCAAATGATTCACTTGAGTGACGAGAGAGCGTTGGGTTAGGGCCGAGTCGATGGGGTAGTTTCAATTGGGTCGTAACACGCTTCACGCGCCCGATGATCACTAACCACGTACGAAACTCCCGTAAGGACAACGCCGCTCCAACATGAGAGCTTACCCAATTGAAACAGACTCAACACCTCCACCAATCAATCACCACTTAGAAACATAAATATTTAAACGACGACGTTTCGGGCGATGCCCCTTCTTCACAACACATACAGAGACCAGAGAGGAATAGTTATAGAGCAGAGAGAGAAAGTTCGTCTGCCAGGATGCGATGTTCACCTCGGTCAAACGTTGTGACCCTAACTACAGCCGGCGCGCAAATGGCACCGCTCCTGCGAATGACCCCACGGGCTCTTTAACGGCCAAGGTGAGCGAAGCGGGCATCGCGTGCACGCGTTGTCACGGCAATGCGACACGCGCAGTAATGCACCAGGGCGACCGCTTTGGTTCGAACCGCGAATCTCTGCAATGGTGGCTATGAGATGTTAACTACCTCGCCTGGCTATGTAGGAGGTCGTGTGTTCTATCCCGACCCCGATGATGCCTGCTGCTTTATATTTGGAGTCTGCATCTCTCTCCTCGTGGCGAGATGTTAACTACCTCGCCTAGCTATGCAGGAGGTCGTGGCTTTGAACCCGACGCTGGCGATGCCTGCTGCTATATATTTGGAGTTTGCGTGTCTCTCTCTCTCTACTCGTGGTCGCGTGGATTTTTCTCCAGGCCCTCAGGGTTGACTCCACCACATTTACAATGAGCATCGCACGTTCAGAGTATTGGGCCGACGTACATTTTCGCCACGATGATGAAGCCCGCCGGGGTTGAACCATCATTCGTGACGGCCAAAGAGGAGCCACGTGACTCAGTGGGGCCTTACACCTGGGGAAATTAAAATAGAAAATTGTAACAAAAAAAATGATTTGAAGCAAGATGAAACGGTCGGCTAAATTAATCACTGGAGGCGAGATCCATGTCACCACCAAAACAAGGGCCAATTCCCGACACGCGGCGAAGTGGTTAGATCGCTGTGTCGTCGAACCCCCGCCACCACCCGACACAGCCAATTAGGAAGGGGGCTGTCAGCTGAACAAAACGTGCCAGTTAGTGACGCGATCTCAGCCCCCAAAACTTCATTGTGGATAACATTGTTCGCGAAAATACTCCGTGATAAAAGGCGGAGAAGTTTCTCGGAGTCATGGGGGGGTGGGGGTGGGAAGGTCACGGGTCGGGCGGGGGAGGGGTCACGGGTAAGGGGGGGGGGGGGTCACGGGTCAGGGGGGGTGGGTGGGGTCACGAAGAAGACAGGATGAGAGCGCCCTCCCCTGGTTTGTCGCTTGCAGTGAGACGCGACTCCGCGCGACAGCTCCCGCAGCTGCCGGAAGGTGGCGTCGGTCACGGCGACAATTTGATCGCTGACGTCTGTCACCGGTCGGGTGGAATGGGGGAGCGGTAGCGTAGCGGTTAGCGCGCTGCGCTACCAACACGGCCATCGATTCTCGCTCGCGGCCACCGCAGAGTGGCGATTATCTACACCGGATAATGTGGGTGTGGGTGGGTGGGGAGGCCGTGGACGTCCCCTGAGCCTCTAACACTGGCTGTCGCCTGACGAGGTTGGTTGTAATCACCGGCGAAACGTCGTGCTCGAATTGTGAAAGTCGTCGTGGATTTACTCTCCGGCACACCGGTGTTGCTGTACTAGTAACGAGCTGGGGAGATTCGCTACGTGATAAACATTGCTTATTGAATGCGTCGGATGGCGGTGGATTTTTACGACGCATTTATATATTTTAAAAAAGCCCCTCTATTACGGATCAAATACAGGACGTGCCCGGTGCATTGTGTAAACATCGCCACTGGGTAGACAAAGGCGGCCGGGCGCGATGACGACCATCCCACCCTCT